TTTCCCACTCGAATGGGAATGTCTTGACATTTTCGATAAAAAGGGCGTGACGACGTTGCCGAGTGCTCCGATCGCGATAATGGGCGTCGTCGGATCGAGTCGCAGATTCTGGGGCACGAGGATCTGCTCTATTGTTGCCTTTGTAATCGTATTGCCTTGGAAATCATATTTATCGTCGCACCGTCAAGGGTTGCAGAAGCTCAAAGTCACCAAAGTAGGGCAGTAAAAGTAATAATTAGACAGCGGATTTAACGATATTGGCAACTCATAAAAATTATTCAATAAATTAACTCAATCATTTTTTAATTTCTGTTCCCTGCATTTGTCTCGTGAAATTTGCTGTCTAGTAACAGCATCTTCTTCTACTAGAATTGTTTTGAAAGCAAACGCCCTAAACCGAGTAAGGAAGATTGCAGACATCTTTCCGGCCCGCAAGTACATATGAAAAATAAGAATGTTCGCTTCTTTCGTAATATTATTATTTATATATAATATAATTATAATAATAATTATAATAAATAATATAATTATTTCAAACTTTTATTTTTCTTATCAGTTTCTTGCGCGACAGTTTAAAACTTGCCAATGCGTGGTATCTCTCGAAGCGGTCTCCTTGCCGCAGGCCGGGTTTATTTTCGCAGGTTTTCGCTGTCCAATGGTAATGGACGCCGGGCCGGAAAGAGTTAACGCTAATGAAGAATTTAGTATGTATCGGTACCGCGATCGTCGGCCGCTAAAGAGCTTTTTCGACGAAATGAGAAACGGAAGGAAAGCGATTGCGATTCGTGCGATCGCTTGCAAATATCGCGTGCAGGGGCGAGGTTCGGTTCAAAGGACTGCATTAATGGCCGGCCCTGGATCGACGTTGGTTCGTCGGATCGGTATAGGGATAGGGATCGCGAAGGTCAGGAGCGTTCGGGAGTGGATGTTGGCACGGCGGCCGGGGATTTTTGTGGTCCCCGGGAGGCGGTGGTCGCGGCGGCTACCGATTCGTTCTGCGAGTAGCTTTCAAACGAGTTTTCGAAGGCCTCGACTGTCCCTGGCTCGAGCACAGAGTGGTCGACGCAGCCGTCGGACGGCTGAAAATGTCAGAATCCGCTTTAAATGTTAACGCCGGGTTACGTGGCTCAAAGCGTTCCGCTTGTCACAGCTATTGCGCGATCGGGCTCCTGCTGTCCGAACGAGTTTCAACTGTCCGGCAGCTTGTTTACCCGATCGAGCGTAGTTTCGGGAACCGCCTCCCGTAGGACAAAGGAACCGGGCTCGTTGGTATTCCCGGCCGGCGCAGTCTCTTCTTTCGTAGAATCTTTGCCGCGAGGTCGATTCGCGCGTCACGCGTCCCCCGCGCGTCCTGAATACGAAACGCGGCTGTTTCTGCTGCACGCAGGATCGACGCACCCTGCCCGAAACCGCGATCGGTGTGAACGAACCTTGAGCACCGATGCAAAACTCTCGGGTGGAAGGTCGACCTGTCTTCGGCATTCCTTTCCGGATATGGAAAGTCCAAAAATACAAGGGACCTCCGTTTATCGCGGCGGTGCCAGCGCCTGGCGCCGCGCCGTACCGCGCCGAGCCTCGAGCAGGACTTTTACTCGCGTAGAAAGCCGTCCGAGGACTCTCATCGACCACCTTATCGACAGAGTCCACGAGGACCACGAACCGAACCCATTAACGCCCGAGGTAATTGCGAATTGCGAGGATAATCGAAAGCCGCGCGACGTTCCAAATCACCGCGAGTCCGAATAATTTCCCCGAAAAAAATTCATCCGTCTTTTTTCCTCGTCGTTTTTCTCTCTCTCCATCATCATCGATTTCCTTGCGAATCGTATAAAATGGATCTCGAGCAAGCAGAAGGCCGATATAGCGTTGAAAAGTGAACTCGTTTTGGAACTCGCGGCTTCCATTTTCTGCGAGCTTCGTTAGGAATACAGGAACTTGTTTCTTTTTTAAGAAGCGTGACGCACGCTCGTACGAATAACTTAGATCTCGAAAGGATGAAATTCCAGAAACACGACTATACCGCTGGTCCGATTCGTATCAGCGCACCGATGCCCACGAGGCAGCAACTTACCGTACAGAGCGAGCAGAAGCCACCTTTTCTCCCGCATGCTGGTGCAACTGCAACAAACGTGAAAGACTTTCGATTAAACGAATTTTTCCGATCTGCGTTATTCGCGGAACGGGAATTTTGCGGGAATCGTCGCGGGGCCGCGTATATCGAGTTGCGGCGAGCATAATCGAGACACGTAGTCCCAGGCGTCGTAGACCGTACAGCCACTCGAGCATATGGGAACGGATAGGAACTTTCTCTGTGCTGTCACCACTGCTAACCATATAATGCAAGGATAATGTGGGTGTTATATAAATGCACGATCACGTAATGCCGGGTGTGACTTTGTCGTCACCGGCAGTCGCTTCTATTAATTATGAAAACCAACCGGAGAGTATCCTCTGGCGAGCATCTCCGAGAAGAAGCGAGTCGGGCGCCGCCGATCCGTCCTCGCGCGAGCAAACATCGTCTCGGCCGAAGAGAATACATATTCGATCGGCTCGCGTTCGGGCGAACCTATACCCGACGGCCTTCGAAGTTCGATCTCTCGTGATCCTCGACGAAAGAGAATCTGGTGAAAGCGACCTTGCCGGCTCACGATTTTGACTACTCCCGCTAGAGATTTCCCCGCTGCCCGGAGCCCGTGCGGCTTCGAAAACACGCACCTGCGGCCACTTGCGAGCCTCTTTCGAACTTCCCGAACCGCGATCCGAGAGACGATATTTTTCTAGCGAGAGCTTCGGCTTCCGCTCGAAAAAATGTAGACCACTCGATCGCTTTCGACCGCGGCGCGGTATTATTTTCGCATTAATTAAGCGGTCTATCGCGCTCCAGTTCGCAGACGGCTCGTTATCGTTCGCGTAAAAGCGGCAGGAAAAAGATGCCGGCGCTGGTGGGAGGACCGCACTATGGTGATGGAAAATCTCCGCGCGGTTACACAAGTTTCGTTTTGTTGCTTTCCTTCGTGTCGCTTCGCCGCTGAGAACCAGCCGGTTTCCGAGGTACCTGGGAAATTCTGGCGCGTCTCTGCGTCCGGAAATCGCGGCGGTTGCATTCCGCGAATTATGCGGCTGTTCGACTGCGAAATAAACGGCCGCGATCCGGGTGTACCGTTTCCTCGATCTTTCCGCGGATTATTCCGAGTTTATCGGGCGGCGGAACGCGACACTCGGCATTCGTTGCCTTACGGTAAATTACGTTGCGTTACGACACCGGGTAACGGTCATCCCGCGGCCGCTAAAGGTCACCGGAAACGGCGACGGCTGGCACGACCAGTCGCCCGTGGTCGAATCGACTCCGATCGACCCGAATCGACCACGACCACGACTCATCGGTGCCGCATCGCGATCGACGAGCTCTTTCTCGGCCGCGTTTCCCTGCTTTCCGCGAATCGCGGGCGCTTTCCTCGACGTTCCCGGAACGTCCTCGTGATCTAGAACCAGCTCTTCCGTCGAGAGATTCCTTTGTCCGAACGAATTCGAGCCGAGGAAACCGTTCCGCCGCATAGCTCACCCTTGTTTTTCTGCGGCGCGGCCGCTCGTGATTTTTCATATCGACAATGCACGGAGGCGTGGTTGCAAAACCCGATAGCCTTCAAAAGCTGAACAGGCCGCCGCTCGGCAGGCTTTCATTTCCTTATGTTTGCCGTTCGAACGCCGGCCGACGCGTTCCATTATCCGGAAAATCGCCGCGATGAGTACGATTATTTATCAATCTTTGCTTGTACGTAGAAATCCTCCGAGGATTCTCGTCCTCGCTGCGGACTCGGTTTGAAAAGCGCGCACACAGCGTGCCTCGCAATCGAAGCCGCGCATACCGCACAGCGGGAGCACTGTTGGCGTTTGTCAAACAACGTCGTTGTTCGCTCTTCTATCTTCCAGAGCCTCTCGGAATTTCTTTAGACAGTTCGCTGCTCTGGATGCAGCGGAACTCTGCACAGCGAGATCGTAGATCCTTTCGAAAAAACAACTACGCAAGATCGTCGGAAGTTAGGGTGTTTAGTACGCGTTCGCTTCGTATGTTGCAATCGTGTCTATTTTATTTTCATTTTTATTAACACTTTATCATCGTTGCGTGGACTTTTTGTAGGAAAATCGTAACGCCATCCGCGGCGTAAGTAAAGAAAGCGAGCAGCCCGAGCAAGTTGAAATGAAAATTTCAGCGAGTTCCAACGATTATTTTCGCTCGCTTAGGCTGCTCGCTTTTTTATGGATGCAGGGAGCCCCGCGGAATCGGGTGATTGATGCAAGAGGCCTCGCGTCGCGCGGCTCGGTTTTCCACGGGAAACATAATTAGTTCGAACGGGGGCGTGAGAATAGCATGCGCGTTGCACCTATTGCAGTTCGGCCGGCGCGAGAGCGCGGAAAGATCGAAGAAATGGAACGAGCGTTCACCGGAAAAGCGAATCCGTCTGTCGAGGAGCGGTATCGACCGACAGGAGTCGGACGCTGGCTTATCAATGCACGACAGGGACAACAGCGGTCGTCGAGAGCACGGCGTGTGCAGCGGATTCCGACCGACCCGGTCGGACATTCTGCAGCAACGTTTTTCCCAGCGAGGCCATTTACTTTCTCGCGGGAGTAGAATTTCCCGAGGCCAATCCCGCGGATTCAGATGATCGTTAGGTAACCTTATTGGCATCGTTTCGATCGCGGCTCGAATCGAGCGGCGGATCGACGCTGTTTCCGCGACACGCAACGAATCGCCGCGAGGTCAAGGCACTGGACAATTAATGCTCGATTCTGGAATACTAATGCCAGGCGGCGACTATTACCGAACTCTGTTTTCTTCGAGACTTCTCGAAGGAAAAGACGAACTAGGCGATCAATAGTTATTTTTATATGAACACGGACAAATACAGTTTTCAGATTCATATGTTGTGCGATATGGTTATCGAATGGAATAGGCTGCGATTCCTTAGATATTTTGATGGTGCAATAATTAACCCTTTGCGCTTTCGAAGCCATTTTAACCGCAAATCTAAAATAATTCTTCCGATTTACAGTATCTCCAATCTATATGACAAAGTGCATTTTCTGCATACGAAATTGAGTCTTGCGACGACTCATATAACAGTTAAACTTTTAACAATTTTTGAAATCTAAACTTTGATGATATAAACACGATTTTAGGACGTGAATGAAGAATTTTAGCGGTGTCTCGGAGTCACCGCTCGAGTGTAAAGGGTTGAATAATCGCTTTCCTGTCGTGCAGTGTTCGAAGATTTGTACTTTCAAGCGAGTTTTCGCAATTACTCGAGTCAGAAGCGTGTTTTATAATACGGGGACCAAATGATACATACTCCAGAATTGATCTTGCCGGACGACGATAGAGAACTTCCAGCGCATTATCGTCGTCGAAGAACTCGAAAGCTCCGCGAACAAGTCTCGTGAAACGATTTTATCATAATTTCGTTCGCTCTCGTGGATCCCGAGAAAATGGATCACGATGAAAGACACGGCGTAGCAATTTCTCGCAAGAGCAGTTTTCGTAATAAACATTTCCTGTGCTCCGAGCGACTCGATTTCAATGAAATTTGACGAGATCGCGTAAAAAGGAGCGCGCGCGCGCGCTCGTGCCACGCGAAACGACGGGAAACGGATTGGAGTTTCCAGTCGCGGGTGTTGTTAATAACGAAAGAGTTTTCGTTCCTTATTCGCCGGCGCACGGATCACGGCGTCGCGGCTAGAAAGTGTCTCATCCGAGCGATCGCCCCGTCGTAATGCAGAAATTCGTTGGCATTCGGTTCGCAGGCTGCACAGTAGATCGAGACGTATCTGGTCAGACGTAGCGCGATGCACTCCCATGCGCATCGGTATTGGGACACTGCACGGCTACATGAAACCAGGTGATATTTCATCGATATTACGTAAACCGTGATGGTCTCTTGATATTGTACCAGCAGAGCCACGTATGCAAGTGCATGTAGGTGCTATTTACATAACCATTCCGCCCGCGTACTTTCTATGCTGTGTTTTATTCGAAACAAAATTAATTGAAGCCGGTGGTTTTGTAACGGGGCTGATCCATAGTTACGAACACCAATGCGTTTCGCTGCGCATCGCCGGCATTCCGCGTAATAACGTTCCATGCATTCCGAGATATTCGATAACGGGCAAACCAAAATATTTATTTATTTATTTGGCAACAACGGACCGAATAGCGCTTGAATTTTTCTACGAAATTTCAACACGATAGTAATAATAATAATAAGAACGTCTTCGACAAAGAAAATACCGATTCGAACGCATTGAAACGCGCAACATCTTGCGCCGAACGCGCGTTACAACACGGTAAAATGATCCAAAGAATGCGGTATTTTTCTGCTTCGGAGCCCTGACATTCTCCAGATCGTTTTTCGCAGATAGCGCCACGGTTCCGCCCGCCACGCTAAATTGTTAATAAAACAGGTTCGAACGATTAGCATAGTGTTTACAGTGTCCGGCCGCGAGTCCGTTCGAAAGGACGGTGACGTTAGACCGCGAATGCGGTTTTCCTTTGCGACGCCGGTGTTTTGCGTCGTCTAACAGAGGGAATCGCTACTTTGTATGTAGAAAGTGTTCGATTGTGCAGGCGAACGTGCCTGCCGCCGCTCGTTCGTAGAATATGGAACGAGCGCGACCGTGTTGCGATCGAATTTGCTCAGGTGTTCGACCGGTCTGTCGTAACCCGTCGAAATTGAGGCACGAAGGCGGATCGATCGATCGCCGATTTCGCGGCGTTTCCCTTGGAACCGGACCTTGAGTCCTCGGGAGCCGACGTCGGCCACCGGGAGACGTGAAAATCGAGCATCGCCGTGGCAAAGGCGCGGCTTAATGCTCGCTGGCTTTTCGTGTCAAGGCGCCGGAATTATCCGGATCGGCCACCGGCGAACCGACTCGGCCCGACGCGCGAGGATACGTTCGATCTGCTCGTTTCCTCTCCGAAAAGAATATCGCCGATTGCACCACGGAGACCGGAAGCTGCGTCCGGAACAGGCGGTCCGTTAACGTTTTGAAACGCGCTCCGGCTATTTATCCGAGTTTTACGAGCGCGATCGCTTCGCGCTCGGGTTACAAGCTGAAATGCA